GGTTATAAAATAAATCAATAAGTGTTTATTCTTTATGTTTATCATCAGATAAATTGTAAATGCATTTTTACTAGTTACATTATTACAGCATAAAATTCTCATTATATTTGTAGTAAAGTAAGACTTTCTGCAGCTTCCGTTCACTAGATTTATGAAACCACTGAATGCTCCACTAATATAAAGAAGCATATTCTGCTGACTCAGACGCTTGGATTTAGAGAAAAAATGCTGGTCAGAACTGGAGCCAAAGGTCTGTCTTTGAGAATGCTAACAAAAAAATAATGTTTTCTTTTTCGTAGTCACATTTCCCATCAGAAGCATCATATTTCTTTAATAGCTATATTCTCAGCTGCTTCTTCTAGTTTTACTTTGTTTCATATTGCTCATCTTAGAACAATCATCCATGTCGTTAAGTGCTGCATAAACTGCAAAAATGTACATTTAAGATGACAGGAAAAAGAGTATGGTTTCCCATAAAACAAGCATATTGCTGGCTGCCAGAAATGTAAGGCTCACGGGTTTCCCCATTGGATTATGACTCGATAACTTGTTTGATAACGTCACAGTAATCATACATTAGCATTTAGTTATGAGTCGGTCTCAATCATTCACAGCTCACTGCAAAATGTCACATTGTTCGAACAAAGCGTGAACCAACTACAACCCACAAAGTGACAATAAGCAAAATCCTGGACTTCTTTTTTTTCCTCCTGAGTCATATAAAGATAAATCCACAAGATTTCCCCCCCCCCCACGACAAAAAGAAAGAAACTTTCTTCAGTTCAGATTGCAACACTACAAACATTTGAGCAAATCCTCCCTCCCCAGAAAAGAAAAGAAAAGAAAATCATCTGGAGAACGCTACGAAATGTTCAACAGTGAAAGTACAACAGTGTGACCCGGGCTAACCATCTGTGACGGATTAAGAAAACAATTCATCAGCGAAATTATTTATTTGGGAGCAAATATGAGTCATGTGATTCAAACATACGCTGTTCCAGAAAGATCCGCGTACGATGAGCAGTGGCTGTTAAATAACCAAATCCACATTCAACAACTTTATATATGCCCATAAATTAACTCAACTGATTGTTTTTTTCATTCCACGTCTGGAAGAAGTGTGATATATATATATAAAAATAAAAAAAATGTAAGCCAGGCATTCAGATAAGCCACATTTTAAAATTTAAAGTTCGGACATAAAAAGAACTTTTCTTTGAGAAATTTTGATTGGACTTGATGATGATTGTTTATCGAAGCTGTCCAGTCATTTCGTCATCAGTAAAAAGCGAAAACAAGTTTTGGCAAAAATGTTTTGCCTCTTGTTTAAACTCCACTAAAACGTCTGCGACAGCTGGGATGAACTCCACATCACCTTAGCAGTGCCTTTAAAGTGACCTTCAACTTTCCCACATTCTGTTTTTTTCATGAATTCAAAACAAAATCGTGCATAGTCACCAATCTGGAGGAAAATTATGGAAAAAGGTTTCACAAGTAAAAACCCAAATATTGTAGTTAGAAATTATGATAACCTCACCTCAGTCAATGCTTTGGAGAATCACGTTTCACTCAAAGTACGTCAGCAAGTCCTTCAATGTAAGCTGATATCGGTTTCGCTTATCCCAGAAACTCACAATTTTGCTAATTCTTCCTTTTAAAAATATCTCCAGCTAATTTTGGTTGCCTTCGAACACTGATTTTGGAATCTTGCGTCTAACTTTTATTGAATTTTGCACTGGAATTATTTGTTTTGCGTGAACATCACTTTCTTCTTTCTCATGTTTGCTGTGCCGCCTGGACGGAGTTTCTCTCGACTTCCTTTCAACAACAGCTTTCTTCCCGACACTCTTTCACAAGATTTGTGTCAAAATCAGTTTCAGTTTACAGACCACACCAGCCGGACCGCAAGCTCAACTTCAGATAAAATAAAATCCCAGTTTAAAAGACAAAGCGTACATCGGCTTACCAAACTCCCCTAAAAAAATAATAGTCAATGAAATAAGTTGGGTTTTGCACATCTTCTAGTTTTTCTGCCCATTGATTCTCCTACCTAACTTGCACATTTCTGCAGCTCCTCCAGAGTTAGAGTTGGCTCTAGGCTGCTTTTCTGCTTTGTGCGCTCATTAGCCAGCCTGCATGTTTCAGCGGATGGTCATGCCTTGGCAGGTTAGCGGTCGTGCCGCGGGGTTTGTCAGATGGTGGATTGAACGCAGCTCTGTGAGGCGATCAGAGAGTGGGATGTTGATTTAGAGCCTGACTAAACTTCATAACCTTCTCCCTGAACTCTCTGCTGCACTGAAAAAACAAACACGGGACTTCATTTCTTACATGTCATAAAGTTAAGCTTGTCAAACTTGCTTTACTTACGTTTGTTTAACATGACAGTTTAATATATTTACTTGGATAAACTGATTATTTGTGACAAATTAACTTTTTTCTGTTTACAGTGTGTTTTTCATGATGATGTCTTTTACTCTCATGCTCTTTAACTAACCTCTGAGGCCTTCACTGAACATCTGTATGTATACTGACACACAGCTGGATGTCTTTTTTTTTTTTTACTAACAATGTGACTCGTTTTATTTCACTCCATATCCATCAGGTGTTTCTTTGTAAAATTGTTTTAAAACTCCATAATGTTTTTCTCCCACTTTCCCCCATTTGTTTTGTTGGCTTGTGTTGGTCCGTCACTTAAAATTTGGCTGAAATGCATCAGATATTTTAGTTGTTGATTTATAGATCCACATATTTTCATGTACATACTTGCTCTTATTTCAATTTATTTACTTCATTTATTTATGTTTAGATCATATTAACTTGTAATTGTCACTTGTGTTATACTGTATTGGCTAATATTTAACACTGGAAAGCAGCTTGTCAAAAAAAAAGAACCAATTTCCCTTCAGGGATCAGGAAATATGTTTTTATGATTTCACGATGTAAAGCACTTTGAACCGCCTTGTTGCTGAAATGTGCGAAACAAATCAACTTGATTGACTGATTGGTTAATTAAAGTATATTCTGATTTTTCGGACTCTGATTCTGTAACGTGACAAAATGTGGAAACTATTGTTAAAGCTTTTACAGATTGTCCTCAAATCTCTTAATCGTCTTAAGTTTGAAACAGTGATTTTCTTTTTTCCCCTCCAATACGTTTTTCTTTTTTACTTTGTATTTGGAAAAATAGCTCAGTATATCAGACGTGCTAAACGTCAAGAATTTTGAGTTTTAGACAATACAAGCAAACATTGTTGGAATAAGTTTGGTGCTTTGTGACCAAAGGGAAATCTAACCACAGATTTATATTAGCTCCAGCAGCAGTGAGCCCTGAACAGAGCCATAGGACGTCCCACATGGGAATTCCTGATGTAAGACGTTATGACAAGTCAAGGATCTCTTCGTGCTAATGCTTTTTCCATGAATCAATGTCGTTTAAAGCGTAGAACTCACCAGCCTGGTGTTATGTTAGTTCCTCTGTAAAGACACTCTCTTCCTCAGGTTCCATAAAAAGCCACTATAAACATCTTTATGGAGGGGAAAAAAAAGAAGAAAAAAGTAAGCTGAGTCGTCGCGTTCTTCCCAGCTCTTACTTCCTCTTCTGGAGACTGAAGCAATTTCCTTTTTAGTAATCTTTTGAAAGCCAGCAGATGTGCTAACATGTTGAGCAACAGCTGGGAGGAGAGCAGTCTGGGATCATGCTCTTCATGTTTTACACACCGTGCTCAGCTCTTACATAGCAGATATTAGACTTTTTTTCCCCTTTGTGTTTTGTTCCCAGTAGCAAAGTTTAAGTCATGACACTGCTGCTAGAATAAACAACGTGAGTCGTTTCCCAGCCTGCTGGATTTTTCCAGCGTTTCTGAGCCCGGTTTCCCTCGGGACTGTCCTCTTCCACACGTGCATTTGGTTTGTGTTCGAGCATGGAGAGACCTCTTGTGGTTGAAGTGAGAAATTACACAATATTTAATAAATGCCGAGACGGAGAGAGAGAAAAAAAGAAAGTCCACACTTTTGTAAATATTGTAAATAATTACATTTAATGTTTAATTTCTATATTTCTATGAATCTGAATGAGGTTAAAGATTAATTTACTGTGGAGCTTTGTGTGCTGTCGAGTACGTAAAAACGCATTTATGTAGTTTCTGCTTCTAAGTCGAGGCTTTTTTAATGTAGTTTTTCCCCTCTATGTCTGTGCGCATTAGAGTAGTACTAAATGTTTCAAGTGTAATATTATTTAGTTCATCTTAGGTTTTATGATGAGTTCTTATTTGCTCCCATCTGTGTGGTCAAAATGTGACAAACATCAATAGTCTTTGGGGGAGAGGGAAATGCATTCTAAACTGGATTTGTCACTGCTTTCTTCTCCTTTGACGTCTTTTGCTCCTGGATGACTTCTTAAATGTACAGTTAAATTTTTTAAAACAGTTCCTCACGCATATTTAGGACACAGCTGGGAGGATACCACGGAAAGTGCTTGCTTGCTTTCAAGCTAATTTTATAGCTTAGAATTGTAAATATCTGGACTGTATCATGTGGAGTTTCCCATTAAAGCTACAGTATGTAACTTTTATTAAAAAACAATATGTTTTTTTGTTTTGTTTTTACATATTTGTTAGGACAATATGAGACCAAAAACAACCAATTAGAGCCAGGCGGAAGGTCTTAGTGTTGTCAATCAATGTTGCTAAATGTGCTAATGGCGCCATTAGCCTCCGCTAACGGCTAGTTAGCATGGGAACGTCGTTGGTGCCCAGGCTAACTAGCTTTAGCATTCACAACAGGCTCTGTTATCAGGAAGAAGCCACAGCTTAGCGGAAAACAAGGAGGGCAAGAGGAAGATATTGAACTGCTAGCTGTTAGCATGAGGCCACATTACCTACCAAGAGAGTTTTTAAGTGTTATCTTGATAACTATTCGTTTCTCTGTTACTGACAGTAATAACCTGGACAGCCCCACTGTAAATATTTATGCACACTGAGGCTAAAAATAACACCAGACCATTCATAGGAGTCATTTAATTTATTGGGTTGTTTTCTATGTAAGATACAACAGCAGGAGTATTACATTCAATAACAATAAAAAAACATGTATTAAAAGTTGTCATTTCTTTCCTTTAAATGTTTATGACATAAAAAAAATAATCAAAAGATTATACGTTTTCTTTAATATTCAATTTCTCCCTGAGAACATTTGCTGCATTTTTGAAAAAAAAAAAATATATCCATTATACTTAATGCATACTACAGCAAATGAGCAGAAAAAAATACATTATGTGTAACATCTGGTAACTGAGGTAGTCACTTTATTTTATTTAGCAAAAGAAAAAAAACTTAAACTGATGGAGGTTAATATAAAAGGGAGTGGTACCGGTTTAAACTACAGAAGTGCAAAACAACAGCAAACAACTTCATCATTAAATCAATTAGTGGTGCTGATGAAACGTTTATCGTCGTAACATCTTCCTTCTTCCTCTCCAGTGGCTGATACATTCATGAACAAAAGGACTTGGTGTGAGTGCCACGTACAACGTGATGGAGGTCAGATTTTTACATAGTTTACACAAACACTGTTTAGAGGAGCGTTTTTATTTGCCGGAGAGAGCGTGTGAAAGAAAAGCTAAACTGAGAAGGTGCTGCTCTGGCGAGCGAGAATGTAATCCATTTTCTTCTTACTCTTTGGCTTGAAGAGGACGTAAAGGAAGACGCAGACCACCATCAGGAAGCAGGACGCTGTGACCACGCCTACAACCAGCCATGTAAAGGTAGTGTCTGGAAAAAAACAAAAAAAAGGACATTAAGATTTTTATTATGATGTGACAATACCGTTGATTCTGATGTTCCCAGTGTGTTTTCTACGGGAACATCAGAATCATTGTGTTGTGGTCCAGACAGGCCACAACGCAACAACAAAAAGCCACAACGCTATGAAAATCGGAAGTTGCGAAAAACTTCTGTTTTAGCAGAACTTCTGTTGTGGATTTTGTTGTTGCGTTGTGTTTTTGCATTTTGTTGACGATTGTGTGACACTGTCGGCTTTAGCTATTTGCTTACATTTTTCTGACACGGGAAATATTACTTTAGCTCCATAGGCCACTCACCTTCTAGGCGAAGCATTGTGACAACTTCCTGTTTCCCGCCTGTGTTCTGAGTGACACACTTCATCTCTGTCTTCTCATCTTCTTCAGTTATAGCCGAGATGATGAACCTCACTTCAATCTGACACCTTCCAGAGACCCGGGTTACCCTAAAAACAGCAAGGCAAACACAGATGTAGTGGATATTGGATTTTATTATGTGTCACAGTGTAGTGTCTTTTGATGGCTTTAGATAGTTGTTTAAGAGAATGGTCAACACAAAGAAGATGACAAGGAAGTGACGTTGGGTGAGCCAAAAGCAGACAGAGTACAGACAAAATGCCAGGATGTATTTCTAAAGAGACGGTTGGGTTGTTGAGTAGTTGTAATTAAACATTGGAACCAAATGTGCGACACAGTACGAGACAAAACGAATAGGAGCCTTTACATTCTTAACAGGCAGCCATTTTGAGCCATACTGCCGCTTGATCAGAGTTCGCAAAACCTCTTCAACAGGACAAAATAAGAAACAGCAAGATGGTAAATTACATTGTCACATAATGTTAATGTCAAAAACCTGCTTAATGATCTTAACTAGACACTAGAGAACTTTTTTTTTCTTCCATTTATGATAATGTAGAGTTTTATCTGCTGATTAGCTTGTGCAAGGTAGCGCTAGCTATGTTCACTTTCACCGAAGAACTGGTCATGAATTCATAAGGCCTTGCAGGCAATTATTTGTGAGCACAATCTCCACAAAACATTATTAGTTTGGTATTTTTAGTTGTGTTTTATTTTTTTAAATTCTTTTTATTATTAAATATTAATATTAATATTATTTGTTTGGTGGCAATAATCCTTTTCAACCCACTCTTTATTCACTTCAGACAAGTATTTAGGTATTTCTGATATTTTCAAATTAGAATCCAATTTCCTTCTTGTTTTCCCCCCTGTTGGAGTCTACAAAAATAGTTTCTTCTATGGACTTTCCCTACAGTAATTTTTAAGTCAAATCTTGATTCTGTTTCTTTTTCACACTTTGGTTTACACATAGCTGTTACCTTCTTCCTCCCTGCAGAGCCCGCCTGTCGAGGTACGATGACTCCACTGATTGGCCGTTTACCAGCCATGTGACCGCAGTGGAGTCTGCCAGTTGGCATTCAGTGACCACCTGACAGAACAGCTCCAGTCCTGAACCTGGTTGGTAAAAATACAAGAACACTGGTCAAGTATTTGGTTAAACATACTTCAACAGGAGACACAAAGTAACCACGTACCGTGAGAGCTTTCAAAGATGGTTCCATCGATTGGCGAGACAATCACTGGCGGTTTCATGACTGCAGGATAAGAAATGCAGATATTCATCAGTTAAATCTAATTTATTCTTTTCCCAGAGGATGCTGGATCAGTCAAGGATCACAGAAACCAAACAAAACTCACTGCTGACGGTACTGAGGGTGCTGCTGCTGGGCTGACCCGGACCTGACAGCTTGGTGACGACAGGCACGGAGGTAGTGACCGCAGAGTCTGAACCTGGCAGACAAACGCATCCAGAATGAGAAACTCAAATGACAGGTATTCCCCTACCTGGCAACCCTTTCACCCTGATAATGTTCCCTTTTATATAACAGCTTCTTTTGTTTTTAGCAAGACTAGTTACTCATTGTCCAGGGATAACAGATGAAAAATAGCCTTTTGGCTAATTCTGGCACATTTACAGAAACATTAATTAATGTGTATCGTCCACGCTGAATAAATTAATACATTTGAAATGTTTATGGTGAGTTTAAATACACACTGTTGGACTCTGTTTAGTAAATAAGTGAGTTTTGGAAGGTAATTGGTTGCACTACATAAAAAAACAACAAACAAAGTAAATGTATTTTATTTTGGATTTACCTACTACAATTTGTATTATTACTGCTAATTTTTATGTTTTGTAAGGACTTCCTTGAAAATGAGATGATACATCTCAAGAGGTTATCCCTGAAACAAAGTAATTAAATAGATTTTTTTTTCCTTAAACGTTGGCGTCATTGTAATGCGTCTGTTTAGTCAGCAGAGGGCAGTGCACACTTATTCTTTAATTATAGACTAACGCCAAGAGATTGTAGCCAGTGACAAGAGAGACTTTTAAAGTTGGGAGGGGGGCAAAAATGAGAATGTGTGTGTGTGTGTGTGTGTGTGTGTGTGTGTGTGTGTGTGTGTGTGTGGATCTATATATACGTCATCATGGAAAATAATATATAATAATAAAATCATTTATAAAGATATTTTCACCCTGTGGTTTGTACTATAAAGTATCTATTTTTCGT